GATTAAAATCTTATAAAATTAAATGCAAAAATCTAATTCCAAAACACACTGTTATTTGACAGAGTGATCATTTTTATTGCAATTCAGGATCCAACACATCTTAAAAGAATCTCCTTTTGGGCACCTGGGTGGCTCAGTTGGTTAAGCGACTGCCTTCAGCTCACATCATGATCCCAGAGTCCTGGGATCGAGTCCCGCATCGGGCTCCCTGCTCGGCGGGGAGCCTGCTTCTCCCTCTCCCACTCCCCCTGCTTGTGTTCCCTCTCTCACTGTGTCTCTCTCTGTCAAATAAATAAATAAAATCTTTAAAAAAAAAAAAAAAAAGAATCTCCTTTTTAAGGTTTTCAAATAGTTTTCTTTCATCTATATTCTTCCTTTAGAAGAAAAAAAAAAAAGAACCCAAACATGGGTATTTGTATATATTTACATAAATATGCAAACAAAAATCGGGAATGATACACACCAAAACTGTTCAAGATAGATAACTAAAATGGAGTGGGGTGATGTAAGAGGTAAGATGGGACTCTTTTATTTGTGTTTTTGAAAAAACTGTTTGATAATAAGCATGTATTCAAATAGACTTTTTGTGATTGAAAGAAGGAAATAAAGATTTAAATGTAAAAAATATTTCATAAAGAGCTCTGGGGCACCTGGGTGGCTCAGTCAGTTAAGTAACTGCCTTCGGCTCAGGTCATGATCCCAGAGTCCTGGAACCCAGCCCCGCATCGGGCTCCCTGCTCAGTAGGAAGCCTGCTTCTCCCTCTCCCTCTGCTGTTCCTTCTGCTTCTGCTCTCTCAAATAAATAAATAAAATCTTAAAAAAAAAAAAGCTCTTTTGAACCAAACACCTGAATTTTAAAATGGCCAAAGGATATCAATAAGCAATTTACAAAATAATACAATGATTAATAAACATCTTTAGAGTGACATTCAATCTTACTAGTTATCAAAGAATTGTCTGAACTTGCAGTGTCCATTCCTTCACCACCTTTTTTTTTTTTAAAGTAATCTCTACACCCAGCTTGAGGCTTGAACTCACCACCAAGATCAAGAGTGGAACACTCCAAAAAAAAAAAAAAAAAGAGTGGAACACTTCACCAACCAAACCAGCCAAGCACCTTCTCACCACTCGCTTCTTAACCCACTCCAAATTGACTCTATTACCACCTTTTTGAAATAACTTTCACCAACTCACCAGTGCCATTGATGTCAATGAACCCAATGGATATTTTTCAACCCTGTTTTACTGAGGTAGCATGTATCAAAGACAGAACTTGAGAAATCGCCTTCGGACCCTAAATCCACAGAAATGTAGTCTCTACCCAGTGCCTGAGTCGTACAGATGGTTCAGTGTCCAACTCTTGGCTTAGGCTCCGGTGGTGATCTCGGGGTCATGAGATCCAGCCCCATGTCAGACTCTGCACTCAACGGGGAGTCTGCTTGCGATTCTCTCTCCCTCTCCCTGTCCTCCCACTCATGCTCTCTCTCTCAAATAAATAAATAAACCTTAAAAAAAAATGTATTCTCTACCAAACTGCCTGGTGATATGCTTTTAACTTATCTGCAACTTATTTCTCATACCTCTTTGCTAGCCTTGTCCTTGCTTGTAGAGTCTTTTACTAAGGAAGACCGGTCAGTTATGCTTCCACATGATGTCAGATTAAGTGGGTCTGCGGTGGCTTGCTAAATGGAGGAATAAGTCCCCTGTTGTTACTAATGAAGAAAACTGCCATCTCTAACCCACTGGTCTTATATAAGATAATATATGTTTTCCTCTAATATCTACTTATGCACTTTTAAAGACTTTTATTGATAAATAATGCATGATACATTTTCCTGGGCAGAGAAAATTCCTAACGGGCAAATTAGATCAAAGGCAATTTATATGATATATTTTAGGCCACCCAAGTCAGTCTAATGTCATTGAGGGTATGTATGGCCAGGGATAGCACAGGGTAAGGATCTGTAAATAAGAGAAAGACAAACATGATTATGTTACTGAGATTTTTAGAAGAATTAATTTTAGTATTTTCATCCCTAGTAACAAGAACAAATTTGGCATATTTTTTTTTTAAGATTTTATTTATTTATTTGAGAGAGAGAGAATGAGAGAGAGCACAAGATGGGGGAGGGTCAGAGGGAGAAGCAGACTCCCTGCTGAGCAGGGAGCCCGATGCAGGACTCGATCCCGGGACTCCAGGATCATGACCTGAGCCGAAGGCAGTCGCTTAACCAACTGAGCCACCCAGGCGCCCCAGCATATTTTTCTAAAAAATCTAACACCAATTACAAAAATTGGTTTCAAACCTTTGTACTCCACTGCTAGTTCAGGTCTTGATCACCTCTCCCTTTTTAGTAGGGCAGATCAAGGAGAAATTCTCCAGACGCCAGTCTCTTCCTTCCCACAGAGCTTGGATGCTCTAAGTGATTGGGCAGAATCATCTTTTTTATTTTTTATTTTATTTATTTATTTATTTATTTATTTTTTTTTTAAAGATTTTATTTATTTATTCATGAGAGACAGAGAGAGAGGCAGAGGGAGAAGCAGGCTCCCAAGGAGCAGAGAGCCCGATGCGGGACTCGATCCCAGGACCCTGGGATCATGACCTGAGCTGAAGGCAGTCGCTCAACCAACTGAGCCACCCAGGCGCCCTCATCTTTTTTATTTTTTAAGATTTATTTGAGAGAAAGAGAGAGAGAGCACACGGGAGAGTTAGGGGAGGGGCAGAGGGAGAGAATCTTCAAGCAGACTCCCGCTGAACAGAGAGTCCCATGTGGGTGCTTGATCCCAGGACCCATGAGATCATGACCTGAGCTGAAACCACGAGTTAGGGGCGCCTGGGTGGCTCAGTCGTTAAGCGTCTGCCTTCGGCTCAGGTCATGATCCCAGGGTCCTGGGATCGAGCCCCGCATCGGGCTCCCTGCTCCACGGGAAGCCTGCTTCTCCCTCTCCCACTCCCCCTGCTTGTGTTCCCTCTCTCGCTGTGTCTCTCTCTGTCAAATAAATAAATAAAATCTTTAAAAAAAAAAAAAGAAAAAAGAAACCACGAGTTAGATGCTCAACTGTCTGAGCCACCCAGATGCCCCAGGGCAGAATCATCTCTTTAAAAAACCACAGCTATGGTCATTTTGTTCTTCTGCTCAAATACTTTGTCTCTACAGTCTACGTATATTAAAAAAGTTCTTTAAAAATGTCTTAGCAAGGTATTTCAGGCCTTCTATTTTTCTGAGATCAATATACCTTTCCAACCTTATGTCCCTGATCATAAAGGGCCTGCTGAGGAATTAGGAGGAACTAGCACACATTCATGTGATTAATGTGCAGGATGAACCTAAGAAAGAAGACTGGTAAGTTTAATAAGGGGCCACGAAATAGTTTGAATGTCACAGTGAGAAAGAGTGCCAAGTTTGTAGCTACTTCAGTAGCGAAAGAGGGCCTGATTTAAGAGATCTTTCTTTTTTTTTAAAAAAAAAAAAGATTTATCTGACAGAGAGAGAGAGTGAGCTAGCACAAGCAGGGGGAGCAACAAGCAGAAGGAGAGGGAGAAGGAGGCTCCCCATCAAGCAAGGAGCCCGATTCGGGACTTGATCCCAGGATCCTGGGATCATGACCGGAGCGGAAGGCAGCCACTTCACCGACTGAGCCACCCAGGCGCCCCTCAAGAGATATTTCTAAGGCAGATGGAATAGATAATGGTTATCAGGTAGGATATGAGTGGTGAGGAGGAAAGGAGAATTAAGGACAACACGCACATTTTTTGCTTGGGAAATTGCTGAACCATTAATCAGAGATCTATAGGGCAGAGCGTGCTTCAGGTGTGCAGTGTGTGGTAATTTTTCTATTAGATCTGCTTCATCTAAGATGTCTATAGAGTAGCAATGTACCTTAGGCAGTCAGAGGTTAAGGATCTGGGAGTCACTGTCACCATGGAGGTAGTTAAAGCCAAAGCAGTGGACAGCCTGGCTCTGAAAGATCGGAGCCAAGAGGACAAAGGCTGAAATAGCCTCTCAACCCTCAGACTATAAGATTTCAGGGAGTTTTAGGGAAAGAAAAGCTCACTGTTTCTTTAGTTCAGGGGAGAGATGGTCAGAACCAAGACCTGGTGCTCAGCCTGTGGCCATTTAATTCTGGTTTTAATCTTCTTTTATTTTTATTTTATTTATTTTATTTTTTTTAAAGATTTTATTTATTTATCTGAGAAAGAGAATGGGAGACAGAGAGCATGAGAGGGAGGAGGGTCAGAGGGAGAAGCAGACTCCCCGCCGAGCAGGGAGCCCGATGCGGGACTCATGCGGGACTCGATCCAGGGACTCGATCCAGGGACTCCAGGATCATGACCTGAGCCGAAGGCAGTCGCTTAACCAACTGAGCCACCCAGGCGCCCCATGGTTTTAATCTTCTTTTAAAGACAACTCTGGGCTTAGGCGAACCGGACCACTTCCTAGTAGGTTTAAACAGAGCTACACAACCCCCAATTTGTTTTTCTGTTTATTGTGTTTCCACTATAAGATAATTTCAAGTTCTTTACACTTTTTTTTAAATTAAAACACAACAAAGGTAAAAAGGTAAATTCACAAAAAGCCATTCATCCAAAGGGAAAAAAATTATGATTACATCCCTCTGGGCTTTTTTCTATGTAGTTTTGGTTAATTTTTTTTCCCCAATCATACTGTATAATTTCGTATCACGATTTTTTCACTTATGTATTACCTTTTTCCCGTGTCATTTAAATTTTATAAATTATTTTTAGAAGCCACTTAATATTCACTAAGTGAAGTCGCATAATTTTTCCTCACTGTTGAGACGCCTGATTTTAAGGTTTTAAAGCCAACTTTACCTTATTATAAATAAGGCTGTGATAAAGGTCTTTACGCATAAAGCATGTTCTTCATTTCGGATGGCTTCCTTAGGATATATTCCCAAAAGTGTCACTAGTGAGTCACATGGAATATATTCAAACGTTTAAAGCCACCCCTCGCTCGCCCTCAGCCGCCAGTCCTTCGCACGCGTACCTCCTACTCCCATTCTCCCCATCTTCTCTGCACGCCTGGTTCTCCTCCCCACTCCCCAACAAGTGCCGGTCTCTCCCCCTCCCTCCTGGCCCACCGACGGCCCCCCAACACCAGCTAAGCTGGGCAGCAGCAAAGACAAAATACCTTTGGTAACACTGCCCACAGAAAATAAGTCTCCCGGGTGCCGCGGGATCCGGAGCCCAGGGCGAATACCGGAAGCATCGACTCTCAGGCCTCTGATAGGTGAGCGGTAGCGGGCGAGCCCCACAATGTCCTCTGTCTATTGGCTTTTGCTTGTGTCACGTTAGGGGAGGGTCCTTCCCCCTGACCAATAAGCTCGGGATTTGCCGCACAGATCTCTGGGAGTAGTAGTTTCTGTGAAACTCCATCTACAGTAAATCAGCCACACTTTAACTCTCCCTTAAGGGTAGAGTCTTCCCCCACTTCTCCTCAATTCTCTTAGTCTAAGAAAGAGTACAGGACCCCTAGAGTCAAAACGGTTTCTTAACTTTTTTGGGGAGGAGGAAAGGGGTCAGGGGGTGAGAAGGTGTTGAGGACTTCTTTAAAATGTGATACAAAAATGTTCTTATGCGTATACAAGATATTGTGCATTCAACTGAAGCCGCTCCAGGGACCTGTCCGAGTTACAAACCCCTGTTCTACACTTACCCTAAGAGTGCCTCCCCATGGCCATAGTCCAAGGACCTAGTGCGTCACTAGTCTTTAGACACCTGGGAGACTCTGGGCCACGCCGTGAAGCAGCCCATGGGGAATTTCAGATGCTGACCCTCATAGTACAGTTGACTATCATCTTTTTTGAACAAAACAGCCAGTACTCCTTTAGCGATGCTGATAACCTGAAATCTGACCTAACCACATGGGAGAGTGGGGGCGGGGGGCGGGAGGGGAATGGAGGAAGAACACTCTAGGGCCCACTCTGGATGCCTCTGCTCAGGCTTTTCTCCCCGTGCCTATATTCCAGTACCACTGGTCAGAATCTGCTTTCACGTCAATTTTTAGAACGCTGCAGGGAAAAATGAGAGAAAAAGAGAGGGAAAAATTAAAGTTCCATTCATTCTTCAAGCAAATGTTATCTCCTCTACAGGTATCTTTCCAAATTCCTGAAACTCTTTTGGGTGGAGGTGAAGGGTCTGGCGTGAAGAGGCGCTCAAGGTACAATTTACTCATTCATCCCACAGCACGAATCACTCCACGCTGTAACTAACTCTCTGCGTCCCCACCCGTCACAAATTTCCTTCTTTGGCGACAGCGATTCTGCCTTAATTTAATTGGTATCCGCAGGGCGCAGTTCTTTGCCTTGAAAGGTGGGAATCTACCTGTGAGTGGGGCAGAACTACGCGTGATGGTGAAGAGGGGGTTAGGTGGTTGCCGTAGGGTAATGACTGGTTTCCTCCCTCCCTCCCATGCCCCTCCGACTACCCCTCCACCCCCACCCCGGTGCCTCCCCCAGAATGCTCCTACATTCCGGGCAGTCGAGCTAGGGTAAGTACCTCTCACGTGCTTCCATAACGTTCTGAACTCCAGTGAGCGCATCTATTTAAAGTGTTGGTTTAGTTGCCGGCTTTCCCCTAGTCTGTGGGACCGGGTTGACTCCCCAGAGCTTAGCACAGAGTAGATGCCAGATAAATCTGTGTTGAACGGATGGATAGATCGATGGATAAATGGATGGATGGATAGATGCGCGTGTGTCTCATGCCTCCCTCACCATCCTCCCCAGTTAATGACCGTTAACCTGGCCAAGCTCGGGAGCAGCCGCGTCAGGGTCCCTTCCCCCGGGCCCCGCCCCAGTCGACCCCACCTTTCCGCGCCGCTCCGCCCCGCCGCCCCCTTCCCCGTGGCCCCTCCCCGCGCAGGTCCCGACTCCCGCCGCACCTCCTCCGGCTCTGCAGTGGCGGCGGGGAGGCGAGCCGGAGCGCCAGTGGGGCCAGGGCCGGAGCAGAGCCGGGGTCGGGGCAGCAGCGGGGACCCTCGGAGGCGGGGCCAGTGGGACTGCGATGGGCGTGGAGATCGAGACCATCTCCCCGGGAGACGGTACCGGGCGGCGGAGCCGGGGGAGGAGGAAGGGTCCCGGGGCGGAGCCGGGAGGGCGGGGGTCTGATTCCGAGGTGGCGCGGAGGGTGCTGAATCGGGGGCGGGCATAGGATGGGGGCGGCGGGAGGAGACCCCAGATAGGATTGTTGGGGGTCTAGCAGACGATTCTCCCTCAACCCCTTCCGCGCCGGCTCACCTAGGGGATCGAAGGCGGCGGCCAGGAGGCGGGGGTCTGCGGCCCGCCACCGCCCCGGGGGCCTCGGGCCGCCGCTGCCGCGGCTGGAACCTCTCAGTTATCTGCTACTGCTGATTTCCCAGGGCACGGCTTTAGCTCTGCTTTCCCTGCCCTGCTAGGTGAGCTCTGGGGAGAGCTGGAAGGGATCCCTTCAGCTTGGGGCAACCCTTTCTAACGCGCCCCCCTCCGGGCCTCCGGTCGGGCGGCCCCTGTGGGCTGGGCGGTGAGACGTTGTGGGGACCCAGCCAGTCTGGGAAGGAAGAAGCGCTCCCTCCGCCGCCTCTGCATCTTGCTTTATCCTCCCCGCCCCACTCAGCCTCTCCAGCCATCCTGTACACTCCCATGGCTTTCATTACCGTCTGCAAACCGATGGCCTCCAAACTTAAGCCTCCAGCCCAGATCTCCGACCCGAGTTCAAGGTGGTCCATTTATCCAGCTGCTGCTCGACCTCTTCCTGGATGTCCCACGGATACCTAATTCAGCAAGTCCAAAACAACTCATGTTCCTTGTCCTCCCCACTCCCAAGCACTCCTCTGTTACTCCCTTTTCCCTGCCCCCAGGACTGGCACCACTCACTTTCCCAAGCCAGGCATCTCTTGTATAACTGGGTCTGGATGTGCAAGGAATAGCCATTTTTAAATTTTTTAAATGAAACTTAATCCAGTCCAGAGCCCCCATTTCTGCAGAATCTGACAAACAAACTTCATGTGAGATATAACTGACAGCCCCCACCCCTCCTAAGAAATTGGAGGACCTCTTGGTTCCAGGCCACCCTCCTTGTTAAAAGGCAGTGGTCCCTAGAGGTGCCAGCCCCTACCCCTATCACCAGGCAGTACAGGTTTCTTTGCCCACGCTGGGAACCTTGATGCTGGGTCCCAGGAAGCATCACCCTGAGACCTCGTCACATCCTAGAGCACTGCCACTGAGTCCTGCCAGGGGGCTGGAGGCCTCTTCTCTCTTCCCTGGCTCAAAGTAGCCTTTAGAATTTTCTCTGGTTATCCTTCCTCCCTGGCCAAGGACAAGGGGCATTTTCTCTTGAGGGAGATTAGATTTTTAGAGAAAGCCTGAAAGAGCTTTGGCCTTCTGCTTTTAACAGTCTAAACCCTTGAGTCAATAAAGCACAGAAGGGCCAAGCTACTATACTGTTAACACTGGGGACACTGGTTCTTGGTTGAGCCCCACAACAAGTCTGACAGAACTTGGTCCTTCTGCTGAAAATCTCTAGGCTCCATCCCTTTAGGCCCTGCCCTGGTTTCGGTCACCATCATCTCTGACCTGGATTTCTGCACATCCTCTAAACTGGTCTCCCCACCTCCAGTCTCACCTCTCTGCCTTCCACTGGGTCTCCCTAACTCACCACCTAGTTTCCACACCATAGCCTGAGGACCCTTTAAAATGCATGTTTGACTGTTCCCATCTCATTCTGCTCCCCCCACCCCACCCCCTGCCTTGTGTTTTAATGAACTTCCCTTTCCTTCTCCAGACAGATAATCCAGTAATCTAGCCTAGTCCTACCTTCCATAGGAGAGCCTCCTCTCTTACTACAGCCCCTGCCCCACCACCACCTTTTTCTCTAGCTTCAGCAAGCTGCCTGCAAAGTGGTTAAACACACCAGTCATTCCGCAAATATTTATTGAACATGTACTATGTGCTAGGCCCTGGGGTTGCAGCAGTGAGCCAGACAGGGATCCCAATAGTGCTCGACTCTGGGCCTTTGAATGTGTTGTTCGCTCTTCCCAGATTATCTCCCTTTACTTCCTCTGGCAAACTATTAATCCTCTAAGACCCAGTTTAACCCCTATCTCCTCTCTGATGCTTTCCCTGACTCCCCGTAGAGTCCTCAACATGTTGGCTCAGTTGTTAGCCTCCCGGAGCTTTGTTATCCAGGCCTGTGGCTTTAAATTCCACCCAGATTTATACCTCCAGTGCAGACTCTCCATCTGCCTACTTGCAATATAAACTCAGATGTCTAATAGGCATTTCAAGATTGCCACCTGCTCAAATCTGCTCCTCCCCAGTCTTTCCCACCTGGAATTAGTTCCACTGTCCATCCGATTGCCCAAACTGAAAACCCAAGCATTGGACTCGATTTCTCCTTCTCCCTCATCCTGGACCCCATCTCCACTCCATTAATGTACCCTGTCAGCCCCATTTCCCAAATATATCTATTTTGCTCTCTTCTCTGCTGCCACCACATTAGTTCAAGCCATAATTGATTTCCTGTCTGGATTATTGCAACAGGCGCCTAATCGTCCATCCTACACACAGCAGCCAGAGTGATCTTATAAAATCTTAATTCAGATTATGTCATTCTCTTGCTTAAAACCCTCCAGTGGCCTCCGCGATGCCCCACATGATCCGGCTCTTTCCCACTTGTCTCCCTCTCCCTCTCCTTTCCAGTCACTGGGCCTTCTTTCTCTTCTGCAAATGCACCAATCCTTTCCTGCCTCAAGGTTTATGCACTTGCAGCTCCCTCTTCCTGCAGTGCTTTTCCCAGCATCTTGCTCATCCTTCAAGATTCAGCCCAAAGGTCACCTTTTCTGAGAGGCCATCCTGGACCACCCTTTCTAAAATGGTCTGTCCATTGTGTCTCTCTTTAACTTGTCATTGTGTTTCTTTCCTTTAGAGAATTATCATAATTTATAATTGTCTTGTTTGTTTGACTACTGTTTGTTTTCCTCCATTAGAATGTAAACTCCAGAGGAGCAGGGATCTTGTCTGTATGGTTTACTGCTGGGTCCCTGAAATCAGGCCCAGGCTTCACGTAGAGTAGGTATTCTGTAAATATTTGTGAATGATTATGCTTATTAATCCTTGATTGCAGTCATCATCCTGCATTATAATCTATTATTTATTTATGTGTCTGTTTCCCTAACTTCCCCGTGAGTTCATAGATTGCTCTGTGTTTCTGGGATCTGGTCCAGGCACATAGTAGGCTGTCAATAAATGTTTGTGGAATGGATAAAGGAAAGTAAAAGGAGCAATCAAAGAAAGGAAAATAACAAGGGGAGAGTGGAGTTGAGGAATGCAAGGGAATAAAGTTCAAATCAAATAAAGAGAGGTGAAGTGACTAATCTGGCTCATACGAGGCACAGAGCCAGAACTAGAACCATGGGCATCTCCATGGTATGGAGGGGAATGTGGGCCAGACCTCTGAGTCACTCGCACCTGAACATCCCAGGTGACTTTTTCCAATAACTTATTCATTCATCTGCCCTCATGTCTCCTTGCAGGAAGGACATTTCCCAAGAAGGGACAGACGTGTGTGGTGCATTACACAGGTAGGCTTTGCTCCCTCAGCCTTCACCCAGACCTGCCCCTTCCAAGGGAGATCTCTCCTCTGATACTCCTCTCCAGAGGTATCTGCTCCCTGGATCAGGCCCAAAGCCTAAGACAGCCAAGTCTCCCTCTGTCCAGCTGTCCCCCCACTTCTCCGAGCCAGCATTGTGTGTATGGGAAAGGAGGCTTGCAAGGTTACCCCTTCCCCACTTGTACCAGCAGGAGCCGTCTGGGGAGCCAGCCTCTAACTGAGCCAAGCACCTCCATTCTCTTCCCTCTGTTGTGGGCAGCGTAGAGCCTGGCCCTCCTGGTTCTGTCTGATAGTTAGAAATCCCTTCTTAAAGCTCTGAGAGCCCTGATCTTCCCTGCAGACTCCTTTTTCCTCCTACAATATTATTAGAGAAGAGGAGGTTGACTTCCTCAGCATTTCCTTTCTTTTTTCAAAAATAGACTATTCGACTCACCTACTGTTAGTAGATGCTGTGCTGGGCACTGGGGACACACGGATGAAAAGGGAGGATTCCTTCCTTCTTTGGGGCTCTGGGGAGTGGGAGAGACCAGTGATCCAGAGGCTCTGATGCAGTGTGTTTGGGGGGGGGACAGCAGGGCCTGTCTCAGGGTGCTGTGGGAGTGGGAGGAGGGCCCCACATCTCTGCTGATCCCTCCTGGATGCTCTGTCCTGGAAGGTCAGGTGGGCTGAGGAACATTCTAGATGGAGTTCCTGAGGACTGCTGGTAGGAAGATCATGAGCAGGTATTTGTTCCCAGAGGGGCGAGTGCTCTGCCTTGTGACCTGCTTCCCAATGTGGCAAACTTGGTGACAACCACTTAGCAGACAACAAGGCCAGTTTAATTCCTAGGACGTATTCAGATGGGCCATTTTTAGCAGTTCTCTGGGCCAGTGCGAAGTGCCAGGTTAAATCTAGGCAGACAGTGTGGGTATTTCTCAACAGCTGTGTTGCTGGTCGCTGACGTCAGTGGGCTAGAGCTGTGTTTTATCTCCCGGTGATGTGGCCTAATTACCATGAGTCCTCTGGGGCCTCTGACCTGTGTAATTGATTTATCTGTTCTACATGTTGTAGACAGAGCAGTACTTATCAAGTTACTAAAACCACAAGATCCTTTTGCAAAGACTTTTCATAGTAGATACAGAGAGCAGGTGATGTGCATTAAACACTAACATCAGGGGCGCCTGGGTGGCTCAGTTGGTTAAGCGACTGCCTTCAGCTCAGGTCATGATCCTGGAGTCCTGGGATCGAGTCTCACTTTGGGCTCCCTGCTTAGCAGGGAGTTTGCTTCTCTCTCTGACCCTCACCCCTCTCATTCTCTCTCTCTCTGTCATTCTCTCTCTCTCAAAAATAAATAAAAAATTTAAAAAAAAAAAAAACACTAACATCAGCCATGAGTGCCTCTGGTTTGGGGAGGGACTGTCTCATCAAACCCAGCAGGAGACTGTATGGGACTTTTTGGTAAACTTTTTAATTAAACATAAACACAGTAGAGAACATAAATCTAAGATGTACAGCTCAGTGAAATTTGTCTAAGTGATTACACTTATATATAACCACTACCCAGACCAACACATACATTTCCAGAACCCCCAGGCCCAGGCATCTCCTTCATGCCTCCTCCTAGTCATTACATCTCCTTGAAGGTAACCAGCATTCACACCTTTGTCCCCATCAATTGGCTTGGCCTGTTATTGAGTATCATATAAATGGAATCATAGAGTATGTACTCTTTTGTGTTTGGCTTATTTTACTCAATATTATGTCTGTGAGATTATGTCTGTGAGAGTGGTTTGTTCTTTTTTTTTAAGATTTATTTATTTATTTGAGAGAGAGAGACAATGCACACATGAGTGGGGGGAAGGGCAGAGGGAGAGGGAGAGAAAGAATATCAGGTAGACTCTGTGCTGAGCATGGAGCCCGACTCAGGGCTCGATCCCACAACCCTGAGATCATGACCTGAACTGAAATCAAGAGTCAGATGCTTAACTGATTGAGTCACCCAGGCACCCCTGATTTGTTCTTTTTTATTCCCATACAGTTCATTGTATGATGAATATACTATAATTTATCTTTTCAACAATTGATGAACATTCGGGTTATTGATAGTTTCTGGCTATTATGAATAATATTGCTTTGAACCATCTTGTAGGTGTCTTTTGGTGCACATATGTACACATTTCGGTTGGTATACACCCAGAAGTGGAGTTACTTGGGCATAGGGTTATATACCAAGCTCAGCTTTAAAAGATACTGTTAAACAGCTTCCCAAAGTAGTAATGCCAATTTCCACTGCCACCAGCCATGTATGAGAGTTCCAGTTCTCCTGCATCCTCATCAACACTTGGCATCATCATGTTTTTGTTTTGTTTTTGGCCCACTGAGGTGGGTGTCCAGTGGTTTTTGATTTGCATTGCCCTGATGACTAATGAAGTTGAGTACCTTTTCATGTGCTTACTGGCCTTTTGGATATCCTCTTTAGTCTGCTCAAGTTTTGCCCAATTATAAAAATTGAGTTGGCTGTCTTTTTCTTATTGACTTATGGGAATTATTATTATTATTATTATTATTATTATTATTTATTTATTTATTTTTTAGAGAGAGAGAGCACGGGGTGGGGGGACAGAGCCAGAGGGAGAGAGAGAATCTTAAGCAGGCTTCATGCCCAGCACAGAGCCTGACCTGGGGCTCAATCTCACAACCTTGAGATCATGACCTGAGCTGAAATCAGGAGTCAGACGCTTAACTGACTGAGCCACCCAGGTGCCCCAGGAATTCTTTATATATTCTAGATATGAGTCTTTTGTTAGTTATACTGATTCCAATCACCTCCCATGCCAGGCCTTGTCTTTTTACTCTCTTAATGGCATTTTATGAATAGAAGTTCTTTATTTTTTTTAAGGTTTTGTTTATTTGTCAGAGAGAGAGAGAGAGAACACAAGCAGGGGGAGCAGCAGGCAGAGGGAGAGGGAGAAGCAGGCTCCCTGCTGATCAGGGAGTCCCATGCGGCACTGGATCCCAAGACTCTGGGATCATGACCTGAGCCGAAGGCAAACACTCAACCGACTGAGCCACCCAGGCATCCCTATTTTATTTTATTTTTTTAAGATTTTATTTATTTATTGGACAGAGAGAGAGCACAAGGAGGGGGAGCAGCAGAGGGAAAGGGAGAAGCAGGCTCCTGATGCAGGACTCTGAGATCATGACCTGAGCTGAAGGCAGACGCTTAACCAACTGAGCCACCCAGGCATCCCTAGAAGTTCTTAACTTTTTTTTTAAAGATTTTATTTATTTATTTGAGACAGAGAGAATGAGAGAGACAGAGAGCACATGAGAGGGGGGAGGGTCAGAGGGAGAAGCAGGCTCCCTGCCGAGCAGGGAGCCCGATGCGGGACTCGATCCAGGGACTCCAGGATCATGACCTGAGCCGAAGGCAGTCGCTTAACCAACTGAGCCACCCAGGCGCCCGAAGTTCTTAATTTTAATGAAGTTCTACATATCGGTCTTTTCCTTTATAGTTAGTACTTTTGTGTTCAGTTCAGGAATCTTATTTATTTATTTATTATTTTCATAGTCCTCCTTCCCCCACTTTTGTGTTTTATTTATTTTTTTATTAACATATAATGTATTATTTGTTTCAGGGGGTACAGGTCTGTGATTCATCAGTCTTACACAATTCACAGTGCTCACCATAGCACATACCCTCCCCAGTGTCCATCACCCAGCCACCCATCCCTCCCACCCCCCTCCACTCCAGCAATCCTCAGTTTGTTTCCTGAGATTAAGAGTCTCCTATGGTTTGTCTCCCCAGTTAAGAAAGCTTTGTCTGTCCCTAGGTCATGAAGATATTCTTGTTTGTTATCTTGTAGAAGCTTTATTATTTTATTTTCATATTTAAGTTTGAGATTCATCTGGAATCGATTTTTATGTGTGCATAAGTTAAGGGTCAGGGTTCATTTTTTTCTCCATAAAGATATGCAGTTGATCTAGCAACATTAATTTTTAAAAAATCATCCTTTATCTGTTGCATTGCCATGACACCTTTGTTGAATCAGGTAACCATATATATGTGGGTCTGTTTCTGGGCTGCATGGTTTTGACTGAACTTGTAGCAGTAGATAACTGTACATGGTCTGAAGTATATTAAATCATATGAAACCTAAAGAAATTGGGGAATGAGAAAGCCAATCTTCAAAGGGAGTGTGTGTGCATATCCATATGTGTATTTGTCCAAGTATATGCCTTTGTGAATGTATGTAGATTCGTGGATCTAATTTCTTAGCATCTGTTTGACCATTAGGGTCTTTCTTCTGAATGTGTGTCCATAAGTGCCCAAGAGCACGCATGGGTATCTCTGAATATCTTAGCAACCTGTGTGTATGCATGAGTTTGTATCTGATCTCCTTAGTATCCATTTGTGTAGCCACAGGGTTTTCTCCTTTGCCTGATTTCGTACCCAGGGCAAGAGTCCATTTCATTCTACGCAGAAAGTAGGAAAATGAGACTGTGCCTCGTATACATTTATACATTTGTAGGAATTAGGAAGTGGAGTCACAGATGCTCAGACATTAAGCCTGTCCAGACCTCCTATGTTAAACATGGCAAATCTGAGGCCATGACAAAGGAAGTGATTTGCCTAACTTTACACAGTGAGTTAGTGCCAGCATGAAGTCAGAATCCAGTCTCTGAACTTACAGGCCAGATCTTTCTCTGGTCTCAAATTGCCTTTTGTTGTGGTCTGTGGACTGCAGGAAGAAATCATGGGAGAGCATCGTTTACAGAAGGTCTGATCTTCGAGCCAATCACCAGTACGAACTAAAAACAGAAAAACAGCTCTTGAGCCTTAGACAGCAGAAATGAGACAGTATTTGTACATCAGGGATGACAAGGCAACTACATCTGGAGGCTCAGGGATGCTCTAAACTGCTGGAGACAACATCGAGGTGTTCCGCGTTCAAACAGGCCCTTTTTATGGGGTCTGGAGGCCACCCTTGACTGGGTCACTTTGCTCAGTTCATTGCAGGAAGGGATGATATGGCCTTTGGGTTTTGCATGTTAGGGGAACCTTGTGAAAAGCAGGTAAGGATGCAACCTGAGGCAGAAACATCCTCGGGCTGAGGAAGTGGCACAGAAAAGGTTGGAAAGCGCAGAGGTATTTGAGAAGGGTGTGACCTGAATAGGACATGGGGGGAAGGAAAGGTAGGGGAGAGCAGAGAGAGGGTTATCAGGCAGGCAGTCTCCGGATCTTGAAGTGCCTGTGTGCAGTGCAGGCATTTAGATTCTGCCTCCGGGAGCTATTGACGTGTTTTAAGCAAGGGAGTAACATGATCAGATATAGGTTTATAAAAGACAGTCACTCTGGAAGGTGTGTGGAGGCTGTAACGGAGGAGTGAGAGTGGAGTGGAAAGACCATTTAGAGGGTGTTCCCTACACAGGTGAGACATGATGGGGACATGGTGCAGACACGGGGTGGTGGCAGTAGAAATGGAGAAAGTAGGTAGATTGCAGAGATGAGTAGGACTTCATGATAGGCTGCATGTGGGGTAAGGCAGAGCAAAATATCTGGGTTTCTTGCTTGGGTGACAGGACAAGTGGGGAGATTGGAAGAGGCGCAGGTTTGTGCAGAATAGGAATTCTATTTTATTTTATTTATTTATTTTATTATTATTATTTTTTAAAGATTTTATTTATTTATTTGACAGAGAGAGACACAGCGAGAGAGGGAACACAAGCAGGGGGAGGGGGAGAGGGAGAAGCAGGCTTTCCGTGGAGCAGGGAGCCCGATGCGGGGCTCGATCCCAGGACCCTGGGACCATGACCTGAGCCCAAGGCAGACGCTTAACGACTGAGCCACCCAGGCGCCCCTAGGAATTCTATTTTAGACATGCGGCCCCAGACCTGGGAGTTAACTCATGACCGCCGCTCTTCTCCATCCTCTTCTTGCTTTCACAGGAATGCTCCAAAATGGAAAGAAATTCGATTCGTCCAGAGACAGAAACAAACCTTTCAAGTTCAGAATTGGCAAACAGGAAGTCATCAAGGGTTTTGAAGAGGGTGCAGCCCAGGTAGGATGGGAATCCTCAGTAGGGGGGATTCAGGGAGTTGGAGCCTGGACTCCGTATGCTGCCCTTGCCCTATCACAGACCTCCACGGCTTTGCCCCTGCTGCCAGGGACGCCATCCAGATTCCGTCCCTGGCTTTGTGCCCCCACCCCATCCCTCTCATTGCCAGCATGACTCCTTTAAGTCACAGGGGGCTCTCATTCCAAGCACGTCCCTCCGGGCTTGCTCAGAACTAGCTTCGGAGGCCTGTGAGCTACCAGCTGTCTGGGACTGAGGCAGCAGGAGGGTTGGGGGGTGAGGAGGCCAAGGTTTTTTTTGTTTGTTGTTTTTTTTTTAACTTAAAAATTTCAGACTTGCGAAAATATCACAGAAGTAATTCCCATGTATTCTTTGCCCAGCTTCCCCACGTGTGAACATTTTACACAACCATAGTACAATGATCAAATTACATGAGTTTGTGATCAATTACACACTAACACTGATACAGTACTATTAACCGATCCATTCAAATTTTTGAGTTGATTCTTCAAAATTTAAAAATCGATTTATTCAAATTTCACCTGTCCCACCAGTGCCAGGTGTTCTGGATGACTGCCGTGATGAGCCCCGGTTCATGCCCTTCTCCCTTGGTCTCTGAAGGCCACACAGTGCTCTGTTAGAGTAGGTCTCTCAGCCCTCCCCACCTTGCGGTGGCCTCTGATTACTTCACGTCTTTAATGTGCTCCTGTTACCTCCTTGAGTGTGTACTTCACGTGCCCTACACCCTCTTTCGATTCTTTTGGAGGAGGGTGAGGAACAATTATGAACAATTCGAAGTGTTGGGGCCATGCACTAATTGAATAACCAGCAGTGGTTGCTGGATGAATGAATTTGGGACTACTTGGTAGAAGTTATTGCCCCACAGTGAAGCCTCTGCTAGTCTGAGGCTGAATCTAAATTCTGCATCACTACAGTGTGCCACATAGAAAATTCATCTCAGAACTTCAGAGTTACCTTGAGGATGGTGTGGGAAAATGCCATAGTTATCTTACTTTTTTCTTTTAAATCAAGCTGGGTCCTCTTTCTCCTCTCCCCATCTGCCCCCATCCCTGCTAGATGAGCTTGGGGCAGAGGGCGAAGCTGACCTGCACCCCCGATGTGGCGTATGGAGCCACGGGCCACCCTGGTGTCATCCCTCCCAATGCCACCCTCATCTTTGACGTGGAGCTGCTCAACTTAGAGTGAAGGCAGGAAGGAACTCGAGGGGGCTGGAGTTGGCTGCTGCTCGCCCTCCTAGCCTGCTCTGCCACTGGGACGGCTCCTCCTGCTTGGGGCTCTTGATCAGTGCGCTAACCTCACTGCCCCACAGCATTATCCATGCTCTGCCCAAGTTGTTCTGTATGTGTTCATCATCGTTCACGCGCATCTTTGCTTGAGGAAACTTCGGTTGCCGATCAAAACATTTCAGGTTGTGCATTTTGCGTGATGCATGTCGTAGCCATTTCTGACCACAGAATACAGATTTCTTGTTCGCACAATCTACACTGCCTTACTTAAGCCAGACCCACAAGGTGCTCAGACATGAAATGTACATGGTATACACAGAGGGACTTGAGCCAGTTACCTTTGCTGTCACTTTCTCTCTTAGAAATTCTGTTGGCTGCTGACTTACACAATGTCCTCTTTGGAAATGATATGTAAAATAAAGGCTCTGTGCTTGACAAATTCCTGTCCATCCTTATTGTAGGAAGGAAGTGCTTTAAGGACTACATAAGCCAGTTGCCCTTGGGAACGAGTGGAAAGGAGCCTTCCAAGTAGCCAGCAATGATAATAAACATAATAGCTATGATGTGAGTTTTGTACATGCTGGGCCTTGTTCTATATATATATATTTTTTTTTTTTTTTTTAAAGATTTTATTTATTTATTTGAGAGAGAGAGACTGAGAGAGAGCACATGAGAGGGGGGAGGGTCGGGAGGGTCAGAGGAAGAAGCAGACTCCCTGCCGAGCAGGGAGCCCGATGCGGGACTCGATCCAGGGACTCCAGGATCATGACCTGAGCCGAAGGCAGTCGCTTAACCAACTGAGCCACCCCGGCGCCCCTTGTTCTATATATTTTTAAATAAAATTGCCACCAACCCTCTTAAGCAGCCCTGCCAGGTAGGTATTAACTTGCCACTCGCCTCATAGGCTCAGAATTCTTCTCTGAATAACTGAAGGAATATACTGTGTTCAAACCCCATAGCCTAGCAATCCAACATAGGATTTGAGCACTTATGTGACCTTGCAATCTCTGTGTTTGGACTTAGAGGGACGAGTTCCCCTCACCCAGAGGGACAAGAACACCGTGCCTGAACAAAGGAAGGTGTGTTAGGTCTTAGAGTCATACACTAACTCACACTGGGAAGTTACTTTTGAAAGAATGTGTGGTTCTGAGGTTGTTTTTGTGTTTACTGCTTAGTTTCATCTAGTTTTGCTCTTACATTGGGGTATTATTTCTGAGAAGGTATGATTCTGAACTTGTTTCCATATACACTGCTTATTTTCATCTATATTTACTGTAACTTATGGGAATTCCCAGTTAGGTTTTATAATCAGCCCACTTACTGGTGTGGGTTGTGTGTTTGTGAAAGGAGCCTGGGGCAATGTGGCTAAATTTTTTCTTTTGACATAGGTGAGGAAAGTTCTTAGCCATAGTCAGGGTTATTCTGTCAGTGAGGACTTGGAATTAAGATTGAGGAGAGGCTGGTGGGTTAGTACTTAGCTTCCCGCATAGATTCACTGATACATGTCACATAATGTCATACATATGATACGGGTCCACCTCATCTTGGCTGCTTCATCTACCCTTTTTGTCTCCAGGAAGCCCTGGCTGTATTCCTCTGCTGAGGATCGAGGAGTTAAGAGGTAGTGCTTTAAGATGGAGGAAAAGAAATGAGAAAGGGGGTGCTTTGCTTTTAATCACCCAATCCCTGGTCTCACTTCTGTTGTGGGAGCAGACCAGCCAGAGGGTGCTGCACTCATTCCTTTCTGGGGTTTTTCCTTCAGAATGCCTTAGTTCCCAGCTTTTCTCAGTGACACAAATGGTCCGATAATTTCTCAGAACTTTGCCTGTATAAGAGACATACTCTTGTTTTCTGCTGTGACACCAATAGGATAAAGTTAAAAATGGCATCAAGGACCACTTCAGGTGTCCACTGTGGAACTGAAAAAAGATCTTAGAGTATTCATAGGCTCGGTGGTCATGGGCGACACCTACTAAAAGAACCCAAACAAACAAATGCAAATAACTACTGACTAGCACCTGGAAAGAATGTGCTAGGCTTTGCAGGCCCTGCTTTACTGGCGCTCTTACAAGATGATGCAGAAAATTATGAGACAGTATGCTAACAAGTTTGGACATTGTCCTGTGAGAGCCACCGAGTTGTTAAGGAGAGTGGTAATGAGATCTGTGTCATATCAGTCATTTTCAAATGTCCAGTCTACTCATACAAAATCTTAGAAACTCAAAATTTAACCTAGGTGAATGTAAAGCCACTCTGGCACACGTCCATACACATTCATGTGCGTGAACACAATCATCCCTTGTCCTCTTAAAAGCAGAGTGAAAAATAGCCTTAGATGCTTGGTGTAGAAGACTGATTACAAGTATATCCTCAGCATCTTAGCACACACAGACCCGGCACAGAGTAGGTGCTCAATATTTATCTACAGAATTCAAGTTCTTTTAACTGGGACAGGCCACAAAATTGCCAAACAATTGGAATTTTTGAAGATTTTATTTTTAAGTAATTTCTACACCCAACGTGGGGCTCGAAATTATGACCCTGAGATCAAGAGTTGCATGCTCTACTGACTGAGCCAGCCAGGCGCCCCACAATTGGAATTTTTAATTTTTAAAATTCTTTTCAAGATTTATTTATTTGAGAGAGAGTGCAGGGGGAAGGGGCAGAGGGAGAGGAAAAGAAACTTAAGCAGACTCTACATTAAGCCAGCATGTGGCTTAATCTCACGTTGAGATCATGACCTGAATTGAAACCAAGAGTCGGACACCCAGTCGACTGCGCCACCGAGGCGCCATAGACAATTGGAATTTTTAAAACTCTTAGCCTTAGGTCATGAAATTCAGCTAACAGATGTACTAATCCAAATGATGGGACTGGCCATAATGGTCAATAGAAGCAATTTCCCCTTGTTAATAACTTAAAAAAAAAAACTGCAGTAGAGCAAAGCCAGTCCGCCACTTAGACAAAGCATGCTCGAAGTCTGTTTTCCCCTTACAAGAAAGTCTTTTAGACAATTATTTTTACGTTGGCAAATACCTAAAGGCACACCGTGCATTACACAAATTAATAAGGAATTCATAAAAGTATTCAGAAGAAAATTAAAGTTATGACTCCTTTGTCATCTCCCTGTCCTTCTTAGAAATGGTTTTCTAGTCTTTTACAAAGTGCTTTCAAAAAGCACTGACATAATAGGAATAATTTCTTCAATTTCAATAGTAGGTTTTGAGAAGACAGTACCAGAAGTATAAAAGAACATATTATCTTTATTTTTTGACAGAGAGAGAGATGGCGAGAGAGGGAACACAAGCAGGGGGAGTGGGAGAGGGAGAAGCAGGCTTCCCGCTGAGCAGGGAGCCCGATGCGGGGCTCGATCCCAGGACGCTGGGATCATGACCTGAGCCAAAGGCAGACGTTTAATGACTGAGCCATCCAGGCACCCCAAGAGCACATTATCTTAAAGTATAGATATCAAAGCTAAATGCATTTAAAAGTGTAGAATAGATGCTTTTTGTCCATTTAAATGATTAAGTGCTTGTACCCTTCAAATTGATTTTGGGTTATAGTTATATACAAAACAATTGGTTCATGTTTTTCCATTTGGCCCATGCCTAAACTATAAAAAGAAAATTGTAACTATCTCCTCCACGCTGCCAAGCTATGATGAATGTGGTAATAACCATACTATTTCCACGCCATGGGAGTGTATGATTATAAGAATAAGCATTAAATATTTTATTTATGGCAAAGATATACTATGAGCTAAGGTCCAAGATATTCAGACACTTACTAACTAAAGGAAAAGACTGCATAATACAATCTTAGACATGTAACAACCAACACCACTACCCAAGAAGCATGCTCTGAAATTTTAACAACGTGCTGTCATCTAAATGGCCACTTCTAGAACGGACTTCTCTTTAAGGATGGGTACCCATATCGACAAAGGTGTTTTGTTAACTGTAAGGCAAGTGTTATTTAAATGTACTAGTGTGGTTAGGACTGGTTGATGTTACATCAACTTTTTATGTAAACATTTTATTCATTCAACCAACACAATGAGCCTTGGTTTCCTTATCTGCAAATACCTACCTTCACTGAGTTGTTAACATTCAATAAATGACAGCACTCTAAAAACTTCCCTTGATGGCTAAGCACTGGACTGGACATCAGAGGCGTTAAGAATACAAGAAGCTCCCTGCTCTTAAGAAGCTTGGTCTCTGACCACCTACCACCAAACAATTCTTCATATGGTTCAACTGCTGATCTGTTTTCTGGTATCAAATAAGAAGGGAAAGTTTAAGAGAAAACACTGAAATGTTTTACAAAAAGTTACAAATTTATTCACATAACATATTCTAATACATATCAAAGTTTTCAAGCAGGTCCTTTTGAATCTCGAATAAGAAATTACAACATTCAGCATTAATTAAAAATAAGAAAAGGGTGATGGTAATCATTTATGGGTTTTAGTCTAAAATGAAAATGCAGAGAACATTTATTTTGGTGGATCTGTGTTGATGCCGTATTTCTCCTTGAGAAGCTTCAACTGCTCTTCCTTCTTTTTTGTGTCCATCTTCTGAAATGCCTAAAATGTGGTAAGCACCAGAGTTAACAGTTACTGATTTGCAGTCAAATGAATTTCACCAATAGCACTAGCGAGACAAGAACTCACATTATACTCTTCCCCTCATGGTACACTACTTAACATGGGCTCCCCATGCAATGAGGACAGTGGCTAATACTTACCCTGTTGGCATTATAGTACAAAACCACCAGGTATCTGTTACAAACATTGAACCCTGAAAGGTGATCACATGCATTCTTGGCATCAAAGATATCTTCATAGACCACATAAGCTGTTCCTCTAGTTTCGGGTGTGTTCCCCCTGCAGAGTGAAATCAGACTTAATTAAAATACACATTTACCGGAGTTAGGAAGGACGCTGGGTTTGAGGTCGGATGTTAAGGAGAATAGCTACCGTGACTTCCAGGGCTTTGACAAAACCTCAGATGGGAGGCCTTCTGGCCAAGCATCTGCAATTTCATATTGTTGGAGCATTCCCTGGGGGTTGCAACTTTCTAGAAGTTTGCTGTGGCCAAACCAAGAAAGAAGGATATGCAGATTTCTACAGAAATCACGATTCTATAAGAGATTTTGAGGAGATGAAAAAGGCTGGTATCTTTCAGTGTGCAAAGTGATTTTGGAATGTAAAGAATTTCTTTGGGGTGAGTTCCATGGAAATTTGTCACTGACCTGTGTTCTTGAACTATGATACATGATTGTTGAGCTATGGAATAGTTTCTCTTTATAAATAAATAACAAATACTGTGGAAAAAAAATACACATTTACCTGAGCACTGATACTTGAATAACAGAACTGTCTCTTAAACCACTAACCACAGACGATTAAAGACAGTGAGTTGAAGTTTAAGTC